CATTGTTGTGGCAAGCTTGAGGTTACTGCGAGGGATGCGCGGTGACAGCCAACCAGTGTTCTCCCTGGGTGAAACTTGGGTAAATCAGAATCACACAGTTGAATATATCTCGAAAAATTCACGCAGGGATAGTGAGGTTTTGCTGTAGGGAAATGAAGCCACTCAGGGTAGGCTAGTACTGGTTTCATATCTAAGAGAAAGTGGGTGTTCCGTTCGAAAATCGACCCCTGAAAATCGATCACACATTTCAAGATTGGTTACAATATTATATTTAAGCATCCTGTTGCACTCCATACGATAAATGATATAATGATACAAATTCCGTCCCACGTAGTAAAGAATAACAGCGGCACGCACACAGGAAGACTACACAGGATAACACCTATACAGTGTGGAAACAAGAACTAGCCGCTGCAGCACTTTAGACATAGGGCGAGTAACCCTAACAGTTTTAAATTTAAAATTTGGAGAAAAATTTTAAAGGATTTTAAAATTAGAACTAAAGATTTTATAGTGCTGCTACAGGTACGTCAAAATTAACGTGTGTAAAATAATCTACAAACCAGACACATATCAACGAAGTAAATGTTGATAATAACAAGGAAAGTGTTTTAAATGTTAATTTTGGGCTGGGTGCAGTGTGACAGCAACGTGAGTGTTATAGACCTGATGATGGCCGTCTGAGGCCGAAACATGTAGTGAAGAGGAACAAGATCAAGGACTCATCATATATTGTTTGCACTTGGGACGGAATTTGTATCATTATATCATTCAAGATTGGTACCTAAATAAATGTATTAATTTCTCGGAGTATGGGAGTAAAATAAATTGGAAAATCTGAGCTATCATTCAGGTACAGTAATTTTGATGAATAGCATCTCCAGCAGAAAACAAGATTTCACTCATTTGCTGTAACTGAGGGAATATTTCCCTTCTACTGAAACAGGATATGCATTTCTGCAGCGATTGCCCCCTTTAGGAATAATACGATACAGTACGAAATTAACCAAATGGCCAATAAAAGGGGGCATCAAATCATCCGAAAGAAAAAAGATATCATTGAGTGGCTGCAACATATAAGAATGTATTTCCTTCCTACGGACACAAAACTGAACTTCTGCAACGACTGCACTCTCTCAAGAGTAATACGAAACTGCACGAACTTGACCAAGTTATGAAATTTCTAAACTTCAGAATATTGCAATTATTGAACATTTCCGAAACTTTTAAAACACTAGAAAATAATTTTGGATTTTCGAAAAATTCAGAAGTTTTACAATTTCAGTGATTTAGAACTTTGGGTTTTTTCAAATATTTTCAGATCTGAGAATTGTTTAAGATGGCGGTAGTTTTTCATGTTCTGGTCTTCAGGATTTTGACAGTGTGTATTGCTGTATGTGGATACCGAAGTTTCGGAGGAACGTTCTGCTTCCATCGTCATGATTAAAAGTTGAGGCAACATGTTTACGAATTTTGATATTTCTGTACAAGGCTATACGGTATCACAACAAAGAATACCACAGTTTAAACTTATATTGAAGTGTTCTGATAATCCAGAGATATTTATTTTGAATATAAAAAATATCTCTCAGCCTGCCAATCACGTCATAGTGGGGTAGAACTCCGATGCTTCGAAGACTATGTCTTCATTATCAGGGATAAATTTGAGTATTCCTTGAAGGTGGAAGCAAAGATAATACCAGAAATGTCGAAGTATTACTTCAAAATGACACACGATATTTCCTGAAAAGATTTTATTAAAATTAAGACTCCGCCAAAGATATTTTCACAAATCATGTGTATTAACAAAATTTGCTGAGACAAAAATTTCATTTCACGTTGTGCCACGTAATGTTGGAGTTTGCTGAGTCCACAGTTCTAATATAAATAGAGATTTGATTCGAGAAAGTTATATGTAGAGGCCGGACATTGAATTCCCTCCCTGGTAACTGTCCACTCTCTCTGTATTCCTGGCTCTCACTCTTTGTCACTCCCTCAACTACTCACTCATCAGCACAGCAGAGTACTAGGAGCACGCACCACTGCACGAACACATTACAGCCCATGGCTGTAATAGCACTTCTCACCCCACCCCCACAGGGCCAACTATGGGTACTGTCCATGCAGACACATTTCCATAGAGTGTGTATGCGGCTTTGTGGTAATTAAACAGGGGGATGGAGGAGTCTTATTTGAGACATGTGAATGCCTTCACATTTCCCTTCATGCATTTCGTGCAAAATTTATTCTGTTGTCATTTAGAAGCTCTGTATTGGCCGCGCGGTCTAAGGTATGAAATTCTTTCTCCTGCTCAAACACTGGGATCATGGGTTCAATTCCACTTCAAGCATGGAGGTCTGTCTGCATTTTTCTGCGATCGTGTTTTCCTGTTTAGGTAGAAGCCTCACGAAGGGCTGATCCCTCGCCGAAGGAGTCCTACCGACTCTACGAGCAGAACTAATTCTGAATGGGAACAGACCAGAGACCCTAATCAGTCAAGGTAGAAGTAAGTAGTTTTGTATCAAAATGCAGATTTGACAAGTTATGGTTTCCCTTGTACTTTATAGATGTTGATCCAGTTATGTCTCAGTTGTTTATCCTCATATTTCAGTAATGACTTAAAAGAGACTTAGACAGAAAATCACTATACTCGTAAGGGATAGAAAAAACAAAATTTTGGTGGAGGTTCCGGATTCAAAGCTGAATTGTCAGTATTGCAAGTGCATTGAAATAGACATCCCTTTTACTTTTTCTGTCCCCAGAAGTTACTGTATAAGTAAGTCAAAATTCCGTTCTTGTTTCTTGTTCATTCCTAATACGTAATGATTACTAATCGTTACTAATGAACTTCTAACTTACTTTACGGAGCTGAACCCTTCTTGAGAAGCCGTCAATTGTGACACTACTCGAGAACAAAATCAATCGTCAATAGGAAAAATTTTGTTTTTGAAAACAAGCCTCTAGGTCCTCCACTGATCAATGTACTGGGTCATAGTTGGAAACCTTTTACAGTAACATCAGCAACCCTTCAGTGCTTTACTGATTATCTACTAAAGAGGTAATGCTACTCCTGTAACAAGTCGCAGAGGCCCATAGGGTTGTGAGACGTCGAGGCTGCCATGTTTTTCTATACAATCAGCTTACAGATGGCGGTGAGGTTTTCAGCCTTATGCACCGGCCCCCAGGAAGATTCGTCATGCTTATTTCTGTTAGAGGCTGAGTCGACCCCAGGGACATAATGCGGCTGTAAGAATTAGATCAATTGAAAAACCCAGTGACCTCATTTGGATTGGAACCCGCTACCTTCCGGTTTGTAGTATATTGCCTCAACCAACTACGCTACCACGTGTATCTCCTATATGCACGAAATCCGATTAACTGTCATATTATTGCTCAGTTTAGTCATAAAACCTGTTTATTCACATTGCAGCTAGAACTGGGTATGCTATCATGTCTGTAGTTATTAAATGTGCAGATAACAGATTTATAAAACAAACTACTGTTGTAAAAGAGTTGGGAGGGTTAACGGGTGTCTTCGATGTGGCCAAGGGAGGAACTGAGCGAGACACTGCCTGTGATACTGGCGATAAACATAATATGTGCTATTAAGTTCCGTTAAGGAGGTCTTAAGGCATTAAATACCCTCTCTCGGCCATATCAAGGGAAATCAAACCAAGAGGGAAATACACCCCATAAACATTATTCTATAGCGCCACATAATCTTGCTGTCTTACGAGCTTTGAAAATGTATTGTAAACAATTTTTATTTTGTCGATAACATAGGTTTTAATATAGTGTGCTTTACTACCGTTATCAGAATTTAAGTTGAAGGGTCGGGTAAAAACACAAAGGGCACTTTTCGTTGCAGATTTTCGTCATATATTCTAATAGAAATTTACCTTATAATACATTGAGTAATATCCTAGAAGACTGTAAACTTCATAATCACCTCTGTGAGAAACTCAATTTTCACATATGAGATCAAGTTTCAGAAACATGCGTCTCTTCGCAAGTAGGTTAGCGTATGGACAGTGGACAGAGGTAGTAAATTTCTATCTTGTTCGATCTGACGAGGTATACAATTTTGGATTTTAAATACTTCGTTTATATACAGCACGAAACGATCTTTGAATTGTAGAACCATATAGTTTTGTATGTCGTTAAAACCGAGAAGATACTTCTCTTCATAGTCACGGCCATGATATATTTAGATCCGGTGCGATATTTGATTATCACGACTCCAATACATTAACTCGTTATGAAATGTATCCAGCTTCTTTGCCGTACTTACAAGTCCCCATCTGATTACAGTAACTTCAATTCTGTTTTTCTTCCATCCTGTCGTTCCCACTTTCAGCACAGGGCGGATATCTCAGTTTCACTGGTCACTTTTACATACGGTAGGACTCTTTGGACGGGTGATCAGCTCGTCGCAAGGCCTCTACCTAAACACGGCACAACACAAACACAGAATAAACACATACACATAACAAACATCCATGCCTTGTTTGGGATTCGAACCCACGATCCCGGTTTCCGAGCGAGCGAAGACAGTACATGCCTTAGACCGCTCAGCTACCGTGACAGGCTCAATTCTGTTTAGTACAGTATAAAAAAAATAAAATATGTTCCTTTGTTCAACGAATTAAACACTACGCCGTGAAGGTATATGTGGGAGTGGATGTATAGATCCACATTTTCTTGACCTCGGCGCTAGATGGAGGTGAGTGGTCAGCTTCACGCCCCGGCCGCTTTACCCCCTGAGAAAGAGCCCCGATATTCATTGGATAGCAGGTTATGTGAACCCCAGATCGGGCTGGACCGTTTATTAAATTTCCGATCTCACTTGTAAGTACCCAGATAAATCACGACAGACTAATGTGATGTAATTGCAAGGATGTGTCCTATGTACGGGAGAGATCTGTACTTAGAAGTGTGTTAGATGCTTTGAGCAACTTGCTTTGTAAATGAAGGCGTCGGTCGCTGTGTTTTGTCCTCAGTCTGGATGCTCGTGGCGGGAGCTTGGAGTCGGCGAATCACTCGTTTATTAGCAATGACCTGGGAGCCAGGACTTACTTCCAGACGTCGGGAGTATATCCTGCACGCCTGCAGGTAAACAATGTCGGCGTCCAAGATGAAGGAGTGTTCCGTTGCCGAGTGGACTTCGTAGACTCCCCCACCAGGAACTTCCGCGTCAACCTCACCATAGTAGGCAAGTCATCAGGGCAGCAACCTGCCTTCGTGAAAGGAACTAAGCACGGATATTTTCGATTTAAAACGGCGCTTTAATTTTTATACTTCAAACTTATAAAGGGATTCAGTTACTGAGAGTGTATGAATACTTGCTCACTGGATTTATTACGTTTTTAGACGGAAAAAACAACTGAAATTTCTCAAGTAAACTTGATGCTTTGCAACCAGTTGATGACGACTCTTTTTTATTATTAATACAAATAAATCTTCATAATAGTCACATATGTGATTACCTATTTTCGAAACTCGGGTTTTTATTTACTCGTACAATCATTTTAATAATTATGTACTTGTAATTAATTCTAACAGCGAACATATTCACATGTCGAGTTCTGAACTAATTTATTCAGTATTGAATTAATATATTATAATGTATGCTGTACTAATTATATTATTTTAAATGTAAGATCTATAAGTAATTTGGTTCTGTTACTTTTATTAAGTTATTTTTTTATTTTTTTATGATCGTGTCTGTTATGGTAAAGGTGATCAAATTAATTATGATTATGGAGTGTAATACGCAAAGACGAAACAAAGAAAGCCTCAAAGAAAGCACTTTCCGGAGTCTACGCGCAAGTAGTAGGATAATATTAAAATGCATCTTAAGAAAATGGGTTTTAGGAAGTGAACTGAACTGGATGAAGATATAACATAAGACCAGATGGTGACTCTTGTCGAAACTTTAGTTCCTAAAATTTATGTAATGATAATCTTTCAACTGTTCATATTTTGTGCACAGACACGCATACATGTTCAAAATTCTACTAGTAATGGTCTATTTGATATTAATTGCATAAATTAATAATACATAATTAAATTTCCAACGTAAACAATTTACCGTCTTGTAGTGCAATATGTATTTCGCTGTCTTTTTCAGTTCCGCCTTCAAAGCCAAAGATTTATGATGATAAAGGCAAAGAGGTAACTGGGGTGGCTGGTCCCTTTCTGGAGGATTACGATTTGGTTTTGTCCTGTCACGTGATGGGAGGTGAGTTACATGCCAAGTTGTCACGATGGCTCATTTCTTGTGGGTTTTATGTAGTGGGCCTATTTTCTGTAAGAATATGCTATTAACAACAAACTAACTCCTCGCAATCTTCACAACTCTTCTTAATAAACTAATAGTCGCTCATCTGGTCAAGAAATTCTCCGCGTTTAAATCCGAAGGTTCATTACCATGTTCAAATAAGCCTATCATTGTATCAAGTTCTCAGCCATTCGAACCTAGTTCACGTCTTCACATTCTAATTCTTTAAGATACATTTAAATTTATCCTTCTGTCTATGCTTAGGTCTCAGAGTGGCCTCTTATCTTCAGATCGTCCGACCGAATTTCATGTGCATTTCTCATATCCCCCCAAATATGTTACTTTTTCCTTCTTACAATATAAATTATATAGCTCCTCAAGGTACAGTTTAGTCCACTCTCCTGCCATTATTTCCTATCAGGATATTGTTATTGCTATCTCTATTGTCAGTTGTACAGTGAATGCTCGTATGCATCTGTTCAGCTGGACTGTTCTGTTTTTTTTTTCCTTGGCACTACAGCCCCAGTGAGCCTAGGCCTACCTCCATGAACTTCTCCGTTCACTTCGGTTTTTCTAGATCTTACACATTCAGTAGGACTCCTTGGGCGGGTGATCAGCTCGTCGCAAGGCCTCTACCTGTACACAAACACAGAAGAACGCACACACACAAACTAAATATCCATGCTCTGAGTGGGATTCGAACCCACGATCCCTGTTTCGAAGCGAGAGAAGACAGTACATGGCTTAAACCGCTCGGCTACCGTGACCGGCCATGTTCTGTTTGGGCCTCCTTAATAAGACTGTCTCTTGATGTTCAGTGCAGACAGTAGAGGACATTTCGTACGAAAAGCAGTACAGTGCAATATGTGAGAGCACCCGAAAAGCGCTGAGCGGTTCAGATGGAAGATACAGCCACTTTTCGAGTGAACTCAGGTCACTCAGTTTCGGAATTCTAGAAATGACGAGCGTGGCACGCCGCAGCGTGTTTGGTTGAGGCACTAAGCTACAAACAGGAAGATCATATGTTCTATTCCCTACTTCTGTTAGAGATTGATTCGACACCAGGGCCATAGTGCGGCGGAAGGATTAGGTCAGTTGAAGATTTCCACTTCATCGGGACTCCGATCCGCCTTGTAGCATAGTGCCTCAACCGACTACACTGCCAAGTGACCCAACAAAGACTGATTATTTTCCTAAACAGCTTTAACTGTTTGGTCTTGTAATGGACAGTCGATTTGTTTTTTGTTAGGTAGAAAATGAATTTTTAAGGATTATTTTGTTGAATTTCGTGTTTCGAAGTTTTGAAAGGTAACCTATCTACCTATATCTATGGGTCTGCAGCCCTTTGATGGGCTTTGGTCGCTTTTTTTATTTTCTTGTTTTTTTTGTTTTTTGTTTTTTTTGCGCATTAGTTAGGACTTCTCGGACGGGGTGTCTGCACAAAGGACGGAGCAAACACAGAATAAAGACACACAGACACCCATGCCTCAAATTAGATTCGATCCCACGATCCAAGTGTTTGAGCGGACGAAGGCAGTTTATGCTTTAGACCGCGCGGCCACTCTGATCGGTTGAAAGTTAACCTAGGAACGAGAACTGATCGATTTCCATTGTTTGTATGAACTGTCCACATTACACACTACTAAAGTACTTACATTATCACTACAAGTACTAGCTCAAGATATCACAATATTATTAACTGATCGAAACTTGAGTATATGAGTTCTTAATCCCGTAGGGTTATACGGATGTGACAGAAATTCGTCTGGAACAAGAGAACCAATTTTCGACATTTCCTGTAATCTGGATAAGTTCTGTTTATAATGTGTTACAGCTCTTCATCGTCCAGACCTTTTCTGGGGCCCACCCAGCCTCCTATCCAAAATATATCGTGGGCTCTTTCCGCGGGGATAAAGCGGCTGAAGTGTAAAGCTTGCCACTCACTTCTGACTAGTGCCAAGGTCAAGAATACGTGGATCTATACATCCACTTCCCCATACGTCTTCATTACGTAGTGCTTAAGTATACACAGGGACAACTTCACCCTTTTTAAAAGCGCTACTTTTGTCGGATACGCCGGCAGTCCTAATCACAGAGACCGGAGATGACACGAGAACCTTCTATGAATTCATATCTTTTCTAAGGTCCATATGTCTTTCCATTATTGTGTTAACTTCACACAATTATAACTTTAAGAATGGTGAGACCAGAAGCTTGGCTGTGAGTGAATCACTTTTCCTTGCATGGCTTAGTCTTCTAACCTTAAGAGGGAGTCCACAGATACCTCTGAAACGTTTGTCCCTATAAGCAACATTATATGACGTCGCAATCCATAGGATTTTAATCTTCAACGCATTGTTATCCTTCTATGTAACAAGTGTTTAAAATGTTATCGAATGTCACGAGTGGGCAGTAGTTGTATTTCAGAGGTTCCGAGTTCCAAGATAAGCTATACCGGTTTACATTTTCAGTATTTTCTTAAGTTTATTTAAGGAAGTGCTGTATTAATGCCTTAAATGAATTTCAGTTCATCATTCACAATCTTCCTACCCGTGAACGGTATATATTCTATATAGTTGAAACTAAGAAAAGACTCCAAGTGCCCGCTTTCAAAACGAAAACCTACGTATTTCTGACTGCCACGTCCTAGTTAACTGCTCAGTCCTTTTACCTCTTTCCTTTAACAGACAGCCGGTCACGGTAGCCAAGGGGGCTACGTCATGTACTGTCTTCGTTCACGCGGAAGCCGGGATCATGAGTTCGCATCTCATACAAGGCATAGATGTTTTGTGTGTGTACGCGTTTGTTCTGTGCTTGTGTTGTCCTTTGTTTAGGGAGAGTCCTTGCGACGATCTGATCACCCGTCCAAGGAGTCCTACAGTCTATAAAAAAATGATCAGTGAAACTGAGAAATCAGACCTATGTTACAAAATGGGAGCTAGAGGAAAAAAATACCAAATATGTTTTGAAGTATTAATTGTATCTTCATGCTGAATATCCTGCTTTGTCTCTTCAAGGTCGGCCGCAGCCGCAAGTGACGTGGTGGCACAAGGGACATCTGATGGATGACGAGTCTGAAACAACTTCTGAGAGCTACACAGTGAACAGATTGTTCATCAAGGGCGTTTCAAGGTCATTGATGAACGAAAGTCTTCAGTGCAGAGCCAGGTCATCAGATCTTTCTCCGCCTGTTATAAGAGACGTCACCCTCGAAATCTACCGTAAGTCTTTGACCCTTGAACTGTGCTCAGTATGGACTAGCTTGGTCGAACAGGCGTTGGAAATATACCGATACTTGCTCCTTGTGACATCACACCACACCAGAGAGACGCTGACAAGTTGTTATTTTCTTTTCCTTACAGTATTTTGTTGGGTCCTATTCATTCTTTTCAGAAATCTGGCATAGACATTAAGAATATATAGATATTTTTTAATGAAGATGGATAAAAAAGCAAAGAAATAGGAACAGTTCCGTAATAATAAGCTTCAACATTTAGCCTTCTTGTCTACCATTTTCAACGGACTGAGTCAAGAGACATGAGGCGGTTGTGATATGTAGTTTGAGCGAGTGGAATAGGAAAATGTATGTAACATTTTGGTTAGAAAATTTTAAAATGAATAAGCCACTGAGGCGCCTAGTGATATGTGGTGTACCCGCCCTTTGAGAGATTCCTTCCTTGGTTTGAGTCCAAGTAAAATCTAAATCGTTTAGAAAAAGGATGGCGGCCATAACTGCTCAAGTTTGGAATTATAAATAATTTTCTCGCTTTGGGATTTATGGTATATTTTCTGTTTCTACCGTGTCGTCACCTTGAAAGATGCCGTGCCCACAGAGGGAAGGAACTATATAACCTCGGGTTCACGCCACCCCCTTTGTCCTTCAAGAGGAATCCGAGCAGAAATTACGGAAGGGACTTGGAAGTTTGATTTGGATTCTGGATATGGAAATAGCTGGGTGTTCGGTACATGTTACTGTTTTGGACGGTCACCTGCCGTGCGTCTGGCCAGTGATTCCGATATGAAAGAACATCTAATTTTTCCTAATTACGTTGACTACAGCGAGTGGAATCTTTTGCTTAAACATTGGTCTTTATTCTAAATTAACCAGTACGGTTCCACTCACGATTAGCCAGACGTTTCGTGATAACCGTATCGATTTGGAGTGTGAATAATTAATACAGCAGCGTTTCTCTATTTTTAAAGTAAATAAATATACATCAGCAGCGAACTGTGACTCATTCTATATGTGACTTATTTCTAACTAATTAATCTTAAGCACTTCACCTTCCCACCTCGATTTCGTTGTTTACGCTGATTTCCAATTGCGTTCATAGGTCCTAGGAAGTTTTGCTTATCGATTGGCTAGGCGGAAATTTGTAAACCCAATCCCTGAAGGTTGACTCAGTTAAGGAAGGAACAGTTATAGTATGAGATTGATATTAAAATGGATTTTTGAAAATAATTTGTGAAATTATGAAATGACTGAGAATTCTTCCAAGTGGAATCGAGGGATCTTGTTAATACATGCAGACATTTTCTTCACTGAAGCAGTAATTACTACATACGCAAGAATGATCCTTAATATGAGTCAATGATTCGCTTCTTAAATCAGTTCTCATTTCGTTAAGGCTTTCTTGACATCGGATAATGTGCATTAAATTCCACTGTAGCGATCTTTCTCGATGGCTGAATTTACCATTTACTGAACAGAATAATATTTTAAGTTGATTGTGGCCAACGTAATAAACATTTGTCTCAGAATATGAACTTGATCTGCATTAACCTTTTGATCACAAATGACCATTGTAGTTTTTCTTTTTATGATACCCTCCTCCCGTCTGACGGCATGCCGAGGTACCAAATAATAGGCCAGTCATGGAAATGTGTGGCCGTCATATGTGTAAAATTTTGGACGTTCGCCAAGAAAATGTCTAAACTAACTTCAGAATGGCGACGTGTTATGCCACGTTGATCTCATGCACGTTACGCACGAGATATCAACCATTAAATGTTGTGGTCTGGATCAGTTCCTTGTTTCTGAACGTCACCGAGGAAACATCTTGTCGCCTCTCACCGGAGAGCTCACTATTTGTAGAGGAGATCTGAGGTTCTCATGGCGGTGTTCCTCCTAGTCTGGGAGACCGTTACAAGCGTTTCGGAGGAACCTGCTGCCTGAATACTCTTCTGCTTCGACGGTGGAGGCATTAGGTTGCTCCAGAACTTGATAATATTCAAGCAAATTGCAAGGCATCACTCGGCCGCACCATAGCTCAAGCCGTTAGTCGCTGGCTTCCCACCGCAGCGGCCCGGGTTCGATCCCGTGTCTGATCAAGTGGGATTTGTGGTGCACAAAGTGGCCCTGGGGCGGGTTTTCTCCTAGTATTTCGGTTTCCCCTGCCAATCTTCATTCCACCAAATTCTGCATGATCATAATCACCCGGGGCAGGTTAAAATAGGCCAATCAGTGGCCGCCGTGCCGAGTTGACCCAGTTGGACTCTACCTCCCACTAAGCGAATTAAAAAAAAGGCATCACTTCTGAAATACAGAAGTTAATGTACCTTTGGCATTTCAGCATCAAATTGTACGGTATCCTTCAAATACATGAAGAGAAACAATTACATATATACAAAGGATGAGGCATATATACGCGTTAATTCATCCGGTACAGTGATTAGCCTACGGACTGGAAAACAGAAAAGTCTGAGTTCGATTCCAGGCGGGGGCAGAGATTTCTGTCTGCGCATATCGTCCTGATCGGCTATGTAGCCCACTGAGCCATCTATCCGGAGGTTAGATTGGTTGGAGCCGTAATTCAATTCCTGAATACTCTTAATGGTGTCATGCTAAATTAAAGCAGTGATTAGTTTACATTTGCACTAAATGAAAACCTTCGTAGCGTTCCTACACATACACACACACAGACATACATACATACATCATACATGATCATAAGCACGAAACATGGATTCCAGTTTATATTTTTATGATCTGTAGATATCCATGTTCCTCTTATATGTACACGAAATTTGCTGCTTCCTGTTTGTGATCTCTCAAGAGACGGATTTTCACCTAACATTTATTTCCCTTCCGAATCTTGATATACCTCGTATATACATTTCAGCTCTAGTAAATCTTTTGTCAGATGTGTGCATGAGAATTGGCATGGTAGGTACAGATAGGGCCCAGTGCTGTTACGGACACATAGCTAACTAAAGCCATTAGAAGAAGAGGTTTTGTTGCTAAGGGTAACGACGCAAGGAGCTCGCATTGTCCGCTCAAACCAAAGCCAAACGAAAGAAGAGAGGAAAAGGAGAAGATGACTGAGCCTGTCACAATGTCAAATACTAAAAGAGGACAACACGAACAAAACTCTGTTCCCGGACAAGTTGACAATAAGAACCCAGACTAATAATGAGACAGAAATAGTAGCTTGCACAAAGCGATATGAGGGAAGAAAATCAAACCGAAGAGTCTGAAATTGTTGAATACAAATTTTCAGTGAAGTGAAAACTATTCAGAACAAAATTGTGGAAGAAAATACTACTGTAACATCAAGAATCTTAAATGACTTCTTTATATTAAGAAATGTACAATACATAAAGTCGTTTTCTTTGTTAGAGAAACAAAAGGAAAAAAATTAGTAGTAATAATATTTTCTATAAGAAGAATCACGTTTAATTCTGATTCAACCGAGGTGAGCAGCCAGCGATTTTGTTGCTGAAAATGAAACATCGGTTTATTAGGAAAACGGAGCACAGAAACTAACAGAAATTTAAAAACAATACATGTACTGTCGAACATCCTCCATCTCGGTTTATTATCTTTATGATGTGTACGAAATTTTGTGAACGGTGTAGAGAGCTCGATTATACATGTAACAGATGGTTCCACAGGGGCCAGCACTACTCGTAATTTCATCTTTCTGTGATCAGGGGGAATATCGTGTGGACATTTCTCCGATGTGATGATTGCCAACAGTAAGAAACGTGTGTATCAGTGCCAAAGATGTAGTACAAACATGACTGCGTTGTAGTATGAATCTTCTAATTTTATTCCAATGACACAGTTTACTTCTTATGTAAGAAAAGTTCAGAAAAATTTCAAGAAATCTACAGACCAAAATATTACAACTGAGTAACTGGAAGTTTATATGAATATACATATTATGTATGTGTTTATTTTAAGTATTTAAAAAATATGGTCCTTGCAATACAGTATTAGATTACATTTTTGCCTGTTGCTTGAAAGACTTCTTTTTAAGAGAAGTTCAGAAACTGAGTGGTCTCGTTGCAAGGGTTCCGGGTAGTAAAACTGGGCTTAAGAGTAGAAACAACGTTGTAGCGTGGAAATATATCCTTCATATGATATTTTTTTCTTATTTCTTGCAAATTTACAATCTACTCCATAGTACCAGCATGAGTAATTAGTAAATGGTTTAAAATTCGGAAGTTTGTGACGAGTACCATTCAGTAATGGTTCTCGGTATGGTTACACTTCATCGAGAAGGTCTTCTGGCCAGATTTTCATATGATATAGCAACGAAGTCGTAAACACGCATCCTTAACAAAATAAACGAAGATTTCTGTTGGGTCCGTGTAGAGGAGTTATCTTGAAGATAATCGGCCCTACAAGTCAGTCAGTTCTCGCTAGGAGATAGCCACGGGAAGTTCGTAGTTGAAGAAGAGTACAAGAAGTGGGTCTGTAAAGACTTTATGTGTGCTGTAGTGCAGTGATATGTGGAGTGTGACAGTTATAGTTCCTGTGTTAAAATCCGTTACTAGGAAACATATAAAAAAAAACTTTGCAGAGGAATAGACATTATTTAGATATGTTACCTAGAAACGGCTAGTTAAAACAAATATAGAAGACTTTATTTATGTGTTATAATTACATTAATCTTGAAAGTATTCTAATTATTTGTAGTTATGACTGATGAATATCCAAACCCGCGTCTTTAGCCACTAATAGACGTGACAGTATTGCGGCTGGCATTGTGCACCTAGCCAGATATGTTGGAGGAATTCATCGTGCATATTTTGGAAAAGGAGGACCTTGAGGCTATGAGGTTCCAACAAAATATAATGCCTACATACTTCCACAAGGTAGTGTTGGAATTATTGGATCGCAATTCTTCAGCTAAATAAGTTGATAAGAGCGGACCAATCATTCGGCCACCTCGTTCGCTTGACCATACTCACATTGATTTTCCCTTGGAGGACG